ATATATATAACATTTGAAAGCTCTGTTTTCTGTGAGTACTGTTGGATCTCCTTCCTTCACAAGCTGTATCAAAGTCCTGTTTCTACTTTAAAGTGGAAACTAAACCATCAGAAACCTGATGTGTTGCTAAGGTTATCAGCTGTTGCTGATAACTGGGGGAAAAAGTTCTGAATTTGCATGTTGTTCTTATTAATGATTTTAGAAAAAACTTCATGAACAGTGACTGATACACAAGTTGTTATATCATTAGCCTTGCTGTGGTGTATTCCAAGTGTTGTGGCATGTGGATAGGGTGCAGAAAGAAGACTTCAGCTGTGAACTGGGAGCTGGATTCACTTCTCTTGTACTTCCTTTCAGTTGTTATCTTGTAGGGGAATATTGTTGGCTAGTGGAATCTACAGAGTGGATTTTTATTGGTATCATTTTATGTCTGGTAGCTCACTAGCACTAGGCAGAGAGGTGTTGCTAGAATTCCTATGGGCTTTTCACCACATCAGTTACCTTATTGCTTTCTTCATTCAAATAATGGAATCTTGCATGTTGTCTGCATGACTGCGAAAACATATTTACTATCTTTACTCCAAGCAGTATGTAGGGGAGTTTTGTGGACCTAAAAGTAGTGGCTGTAAATGTTCCTTTCTTCTCTACCTGTGCAGGATACAATAAAAGCCTGTTTACCTTCACAAAGAGGATTTTTCTGTTCAAGCCAAAGAGTTTAAACTCATTACTTGCTGATGTGCACTTCTTTTGTTCTTTGGATAATTTTACAAGATCTCTGGATTTCAAATACAGTTTCTTACTCTTTCTGTTGTCAGCCTTCAAAAGTGTGATATATTGAAATTCATATCAGGAGAGATGTATATGGTTGGGGGTTTTTTTTGTATGTGCTTATTAATTGGTATTTAAGTGCTTCAAACTTGCAGAAGGGAACAAACACTATTGCCTGTATGCAAAAAGCCACAACTTTTGCTGCCCTGTCACATTAACCAAGACAACAGCCTATAAAAGTATAGTAAGTGCTTCTTCTCTATTGGGTTTTATAATTTTTAAAAAGTTTGAATAATATATCCTCTAGAATGTAACAGAACAAAAAGATTGAAATACCATGCAATAGCATCTTAAGAGCCATATGTTTTCTTTAGGTGTGGTTCTGCTTATTTCAATTTCGTAAAGTAGAATAGAAAATACTATGTTATTTTATGTCATGTATAAATTGAGCTAGAAGGGTGAAAACTGGGTGGACACTGGCTCTGTGTGGTGGGTGATTAGCATCAGCTGAGGAAAGTTTTGTGTTTCCAGAAAGGTAAGGTTTCTGTTCCTAAAGTGTTGAATATATTTCTTTCCTTACCTATATAGTATTCAAACATTGTACACTGAAGATGTTTGCTTGTGTGCGTTTTTTTTGTCATCTTTAACTGTACTGAAGGAGGTAATGTTACTTCAACCTACTTAAAGACATGAAAGTAACCATCAAGTCTTATTTTTTTAGTGTATTGTTCCAAATCTGCAGAGGTTTGTATTCCCATATTTTACATGCAGTTCACGAGATTTGGGTCTGTGTGTATGTTGTCCTTGTTACATGAACCTTTTACTGTGAAGTATTCTCAGCATGTGTATTACTCAAGTTTCAGTGTTAGCAACGTGTGAAAGGTATTAATGCCCTCTGACTATGGTAATATTAAAATTCAAAGCAGTATTTATCATATACATATAGAGAATTAATGGACCATTAGGACTTTACATCCTATTTGAATGTAGCAATCAGGTGGCCCAGAAGTACACTGCTGATTTTTATGAATAGACAACCTGTTTCATAGCTAAAGTTTATGATGCAACATTCTCACTCACAACTACCTTGATGAAGACATAGTGGTACTGGAAAACCACCTAGTATCTCTTTTAGCAGTTAGTGTAATTTATCTTACCTTAATTGAATAGATTTCTAAGGAGTGGCTTTTCCTGCCTTTTTTTGTCAGACCAAGAAGAATTCTTCAGATTGCTTTTCAGAGTTCCTGCATTTCCAGAATACATATTAATATCATGCAGAAGAGGCTGAGATTTTGTTTTTCTGTAGTGTTAATTGTACTACTTATTGTATCTGATTTTGCAGTAGGAATAATGTTAATAGGACTTCACTGTATTTAATTTCATGTCTGTGTTACCGTACAGGTGCTTATATTGGCATGCTCTTGAGGCATGGTGTTAACTAATACTGTTCTACAACAACATGCAAACTAGTAGTAAGTTCACAGTAGCACTGACACTTTATGTGGGAATTCCTACTGGAAATCATATTTTCCATCTGATCTTAGTAGTATCTGCAACGGTTAATATTTCCATTTAAAACTATTAGTGATTTAAGATTTAATCTTGGTGAATGATTAACAAAAATTTAGTTAAGGCTTCAGAAGGAAGGTATGGATAAATGTTTAACTGCTAAGTTTTCAGAATAGAGAATTGAAAAGACAGTGAGATGAGCAGTTTGTCCTGTAATGGGTCTTAGAGAATTTTTCAGTTTTTAACTTCGTTACTGAAATGCTTCGTAACAGTAAAGGCTGTAAATGTAGCTTCTATTAATGACTTCTATTAATTCATACATATTTAGTAAGAAAATAATGAGTACATGAAAACTTTTAATGGATGTTTCTATATTCATGTGATGTGATATAGAAGAAACTTGCTCTGGATCTTGTGTAGCGTTTAAGTGCTGGCTGAGAAAGGGCAGAACTGTTTCATAGCTGTTGAAAGAATAACAACGTAAACAAAAATCTGTTGATATCATTGTGTGGTGTTCAGATGAAAACAAGTAGTGTCCATTCTAATTTTGCTGAAGCTAGATGAAAGTCCGGTTGTCAAACACAGAAGTTGTTTTTCAACATTTTTAAAGAGATGCCCATTAAGCAAAAGTGTGCACTTAAATTGCTGCACTCAAAAGAATTTGGCTCATGCATAGACTAAGAAATGCTGGTTCATATTTTTGTTCAGTGAAGTGTATTAACAGCTCAGACTGACTTCAGTTTACTGTATTATGATGTTCTGTAATAGATCAGAGTAAAATGAATAAAATGTGTGTTGTTTCAACAGCTAACTCAGAAAAGTTCTGCTCGTGTCATTGGTTGCATTTGAATGCTTTGTCTTGACAGGCTTACTTGTAAAGATAATGAATGTCCCTGTGCTGATGACTTTTGAGTTCTGTTGGTGTGACAAGCCTTTCTCTATACAGAACACTTTGTTTACAATATGATTAAGAATTAGTTGCCTTTTTTTTTGTTTGTTTTGTTTTTTTGTTTGTTTAAAGAATTCAGTTTTGCGTGCATGACTCTTTCTCGGCCATCTCTGTGACCCGGTTTTACTTTTTGTGAGAGTAAAATGTAGCAGAGTATCTAGAAGTAGTTCTAAAACTCTGCTGTTGGATTTCTGGCTATCTGGGTAAATCTAGGACTCTGTCTGCGCTTGATAGGTATTTCAAAACTTGGAATTATTTCTAAGGTTTTATAAATAAAAAAATCAGGAAGTATGGGTGATACTGAAATAACACTGCCAAAATTTTGGGGAGTTTTTACAGAGATGGTAGCTGTTGAGATAGATGCTGTGTGGAGCATTCCTATGGCATAATGCTGTATAAATTGCCTTGCCTATTGGTGTGTGGGCTGGTTTTCCAAGTATTCAGGAAAACAGAGAAATTGAGTTGGTTGCTTCCAAAGCAGCACAATTTGTGTGTGATAGCTACTGCTGAACTAATAGGAGTTAGGTGTGGGTTTGTACCCAAATTCAGAAGTAGTCTTGATTAGATGCTCAGTGGGATGTTGTTGTGGGTTAATCCCAGCCAGCAACTAAGCACCACGGAGCTACTTGCTCACTCCTCTCTGGTGGGATGGCGGAGAGAACTGGAAGAGTGAAAGTGAGGAAAAGCTTGTGGGTTGATAATAGAACTGTTTAATAATGCAAATATAATAATGATGATGATGAAGAAAAAAATATACAAACCATACTCCTGTTCTCAGTTGTGTGGCCAACTTTGTATTTTAGAAACCATGGGAATGTTGCATTAAAACTGTATCATGAAATAATTCGTAAATACTGTCTTTAAGATAGCTGGGATGTTTAAAAGGGAGATTTTGCATTGTAATTTAAGATTTTAAAATAATAATTACATTTGAGAAGATCAAAATTTCTCGTTTAAGATGTTTTTTTATTTCCTTGTGTAGCTATGTAGGAAACCTCTCCAGAGATGTGACTGAAGTTCTTATACTTCAGTTATTCAGCCAGATTGGACCATGCAAAAGCTGTAAAATGATAACAGAGGTAAGGCCTTCCACATCCAGGGGGTTAGCAAATATAATGTAACTTTGGACAAAGTTGTTTAAAATAAGTGGAGTTGAGGGCTTCTTTTGACATTACTGGTAGTGGGGTTTTTTTATGTTGATTGTGCTTGGTTTTTGGGATAACTTTTTGCAGAAAAGACCTGTTGTTGTGTACAGTCCTGTACTTTTCCTGGTAGCCCTGACATACCTTTTAGTAGCTGATGAGATTCCACTTTATTTAAAGGATTGTTAACCACCTCTTTTTAGAACCATGTTGTTCCGATGATCAGAAACCTTATTGTTTCAAGTGTTACTCATAGCTATTTTGTACATTTTTCACTTTATTTGAACATGAGCCTCAGTAATTCTTCTCTCCTTGAATAAATGCTTCTTCACTATGAATGAAAAGTAAAAAATCCTTCAAAATAAGTTTTACTCTTCCTGAGCCTTTTCTGTGCCAGTGCGAATAGCTTGTCTGCACCTGTCTGTTCTTAAATTAATATTTTCTTGAAACAAAGTGACAAAATTTCCATAGTATTCTGGATAAGGTCTTTTGTACAAACTGTTGGTAAGTATTAATACTTTCTTCTCTCCATTGTAAATACTCTGATATGGTTAGGGTTGGTAGCCATTTCTGTGATCTTGCTGACACATCCTAGGCAACTTCTCGCTCCCTAATATTTTTCCATCCTTCTGCATTTATAACTGAAAAACTTTGAGCAGGCAGGGACTAATTGGAACTTTTGGTAGGTTTAATCTTTGGTTCTTCGGCTCTGGTTTTCTGTATGCTCTCCTTCCTTTCTACTACTTATTATGGTTCGTACTAACTGGTAATTACATATTTCCTGATTACAGTCACCTTATTTTTTTTGTCAAGATCGTTAATGAAAATATTAAAAGGCAAGTCTTGTGACCAGACTTCTTCAGCAACACTACTAGTAACTCTTCTGTAGTCTTCTTTTCCTTTCAATGTGACACTGCTTTTTTGGGTTTTAGCTGCTTGTTGTCCACCTGATGTTAGGTTAATCACTATCATCTTTGTCTTAACTAAGAATTTCCCATGTGGCACGTTATTAAAACTTTTTAGTCAAGGGCTCTGCCACATTTTCTGTAAGTTTATTGGAGAAAGGTAACTAAACAGAAGGATAACAGAGCACAGTTGTTAGTTTTTCTCTGAAGAAAGAGTTTTGGTTGTCATGCTCTTTGGAAATAAGGTAGCGCTGCTCCAACCTTCAACTGAGAGTGTTGCATCGGTTTGGTTTCTTGAGAACGTCATGAGAAATTCCAACAGTCATTTTATGTTGTTTTAGGCTTTGTAGTTTTAAGTTTTTACATAACCATAGAAATAACAAGGGAGACATCTTTATGAAATAAGTAGATAAACAAAAAGCTACTTGCAGCTATATTCAGTCGTACGGAGGTGAACGCACTGGGCTGACCTTAGCACCTGTCACCAAGCAGTCAGCAAGTGCAGGTTGGATTCTAGACTGGAACTGGCCTGCAGCTACAGTGCTTTTAACTGTGAAAGTACCTGTCCATATTGTCCCATCCTTCTAATCAGTGTGTTGTAAACCTTCCATAGGAACAAAGTAACGTTTGAGTAGTTCTTACCTGTCCATTGCTATTACCACTATCAGTCAAGTTCATACCTGAATGTTTTCCTTTTGTGGGGTTTTTTCTGTTTTCTTTTTTTCTTAAACCAGGTGTGTCAAGTGTGTGCTCACTCTTTCTCTTTTGTAGAATATGTGACTTGAACATGTCAAATGTTTTTTGGGGGGATATATTACATTCAGGGTGGTGTGGCTAGCATTTTCAGGTATCTTGAATACCTAAAGATCTGGGCATCTGCAAAAGAGGCTGCTCTTATGTTCAGACAAGTTCTCGGTGTGAAAGACGACCTTCCCACAGTCTAAAAGTAAAATTGCTTCAACTTCAGTTGAAGCATAAACTGCACTGAATCTGTTGAGGCCTTAAATGGGTTTCCCAAATCTTGTTCTCATTGCAGCAGGAAAGTAGAATGGGAAGAGGGGTGAATTAAGGCTTACTGTTTCGGGGCATCTGGCGTGAATGTGCTTTTGGAGCACTTCATGGCTGTTGTGACTTACCCAGCATTACAAAAAAAAAGAGTTCATAAAGTTTTTCTCTTGTCTGTTCATTTTGCATCAATTAGAGGCACCTAGTACTGACAGTGTTTAGAAGGATGACTTCAGATTATTTGATCGTTTCAGGTATATAAAGGCTTTGTGATCAGTTCATCTATTAGATCTCTTTAATAGCTTCCCTTGTTAAGGTGTAGACAGAACTATGTTTGAAGATGTACAATCCGGTTTTACAGGGCAGAATTAGAATTTCTTTGTCCATATAAATGTGTGAATTTTCAGATGTTAAATAGTAAAAACTGGTAAAGGCCTACTCCTAAATTGTGTTAGAGCTATGCTCTGTCTGACACTGGGGGAGGTTGATATGTAAGAATACTGATACCAAAGCAGTTTATTTACATGCTAGACATTTCCCTGTCTGTTGAAGAAATAATTTGTTTAGTTTAATATTAGTGTTTATCATCATCTGGTCTGTGTACATGCAGAGTAGTAAATGCAGATATTTTGGTTTGTACTCATTAAATCTTTAGTCAGATTAAATCAGATGTTAAAGTTAGCATTCTAATCATCATTTCCACTTGATCAACTTTTCAGAAAACTTTTATGTTCTTTGCATTTAATACCCTGGTACATATAATACTTCAGTGAGATTTGTTTGTCAGTATTTTTAATGGTGATTCAATAGGCTATCCTACAAAAACAGGTTATACCCAAGATTTAAGAGAGTGATAATAAATTGATTAATATCTTTTTCCCTCAGTCAAACTATTCTGAGTCCTTTTAAGAGGATATTTCCTACTTGCTGGGTATAACATTTCTCACTTGAGACTGAGAATATGCAACTCTGTTGCTGTCTGCTAGAGATTTTCAAGCAAATGAAAGGAAAGACTTCTTAAGTAGGAGGAGAGAGGAAAATTGGTGAAAATGTATCTGGGGAACAAGGCTTTGAGTGTATATATGTATGAGGCAGAAGACCATTTTTGATCTTCTCTCCATTCTTCCCCTTTTTCCCCCCCTTCCATTCAGTTTGCAGATCACTTTTCTGGTAGCTTAATTATTTTTAGTTTAGTAAACTTAAAATACTGAGGCCTCACACAAAGTAAACTATACTTCAGAAATTGCTAGACCTTTAATAAAAAGTCCATCTTAATTCTTGTATTTAAGTGTAATGTCAAAGGCTATTTCATAAATCTAATGCAAATCATTCTTAAAGTTTCTAGCTATAAGTAATATATTTTCCTGGATTTTCTTCTCAGCAACCCGATAGCAGAAGGGTCAACTCTTCTGTTGGATTTTCTGTTTTGCAGCATACAAGCAATGACCCTTATTGCTTTGTGGAATTTTATGAACACAGAGATGCAGCTGCTGCATTAGCTGCTATGAATGGGAGAAAAATTTTGGGAAAGGTAAGTTGCTTACATTATAATCTTAGATTTAAGGAATATAAACGTGTGTAAAAATATTAATAAAACTGTGGGGCATTCATTTTGTTGAAGATGTTTACCAAGGTTAAATATTGTTAGAATAATACTTTAAAAATACTGATCTAAAAAAAAGAAAAAAGTCTTGTTTAGGAAACGTATCTTTTGTGATGTTCTAATTACTACAGCATTTTATATCGAATGACGATTTGTAAACATTGACAGTTGTAACCTACCCTTGAATGAACTTAGAAAATGTAAGAATTTTGTGAATTTATACTAAATCTTATACTTATTTTCAGGAGGTCAAAGTAAACTGGGCAACAACACCAAGTAGCCAGAAAAAAGATACATCCAGTAAGTAAAGTAATGCCACAGTATCACTTCTACACGAC